TTATCCCAACACCTCACCATTACGCTTAATTATCTCTGAGTACCTGAACAACGACAGTGTATTCAATGGGCTAATCAAACGAAATGTCCTGATGTCCACTTTTGTGAGTTTTCTTATGCTTCTTGACCAGAAATCATCTTGAGAACGAGTTTTGACCAATAAATAACTATTGAACTTTTGGCAATATATACAATAAAGCTACCGCTGTTGTATTTTTAATTTACAACAAACAGCATAAAATATAAAATTAGATTCAAATTTTAATTGAATTCCGTAACAAGGTAAAACTAAACTTGAAAAGGAGTGAAATAAAACTTTGACGAAGTTAAATTTCAAAGACCAAAATTACGTTATGAGTTTAGCGAAAAGATAAGCAAAGATTTACTAAGTTTATTTGACATTGGTCCTAGTTTATTTGACACATTGGTCAGATCGAGGCACGTGCCTACCGTATTCCAATCTTTATTTCAGAGTAATTTGTTAAGTGTGGAAAAAATCGAACCATATGCAAGACGATAAAGAGTTAATCCTGGCAAATCGAATAAACTTCAAGGTCTTAACGAGGAAGTACTTATTCTAGTTATAAATTTGTTTCTTGATCACAGGATATCGCGTAGTCACGCATGTTATGTTCTTCACTTCAACTAAATAGTCACGTACTGCTAAAAAACAGCAATATTCAGTAGCCATTTTATCCGTATCTCTCATCAGCTCTCGGTAAGACATGTCTGTTTACTGCTTCATTAATATGATTACGTAATTAAACGTTTCCGCAAAGTTAAATATCACTTATATCACCAAGAGATCGGATCCAATAACTGTTGAAACATTTCCATTGACCTTTTCTTTCTTTCCCCTTTGTATGCTTTTCAACTCGTATGTAACTATGGAATAATAGGATATTTTCTGACCCAACATTTCGTTACCTTGACTCCCTCATTTGAATATCGTTAAAATTAATTTACAAAAAAACTGTAAAAAAGTTCAAAATTTTGTAATGAGAAGTATATGTGATATCTTCACTGTCAATGATCGCAGAGATTTATCTTTTCATAATTACCCCTGAACGATTTACAGTATCGTATTTTAAGTTGTCTTTTTCAATTGAGTTCATAATTCATCCTAAAATGTCATGGAAATGAGATGTATTTTAAAATAACTATTCCAATATTTTTCTAAGCTTCCTTTTTTAGGAAGAAGCAACAAAGTGGTTATATAAATAGCAGAACATTTTAGAATCAAAAAAAAAAAAACTGTACAAATATTTACATCCAAAATGCAAATTTCTCAATAAAAAACGAAAAAAAACGCAAACTTCGAAAGGCACATTTCCAAGAAAAGATATTGACATATAACGTTATATTACGAAAGTAGTGAGATCAATATTAATAATACAGATAGTAGTTACAATTTCGAGGATTATGCTCTTTTTTGATTATGAGTTACTTCATTTCTGAGTGAAAATTTGACTTTATCCATTTTTCTTGAAATCATTAATTGAAATAAGACTCCTAAGTTCCAAAGTAATATAACAACTCCCAGGGAAATAAGAAACCCGTAACAGAATATAAACAATTCATATATACCGTAGAAGGCTCTATGCAAACCAACTACAAATGATACACACTTAGTTCGCAAGACCACCATATTAACAATCATTATTTAAATACTTCCTACAGCATTGAAAAATAATCAGATATTCAGTGAACTAGAACAGATTGTATTTTTTCAGTCCCTTCAACAACTTGAGCGGAAGAGAGGAAAATCTAATCCTAACAAATTTATGTTTCTTAAAATCAACATTTGAAAACTATAAAGGGATAAAAATATAGTGTCCTTAGTAAACAAGATTCTTGTATTACCAAAATGGACACCAACCAATATAGCACTGACACAAATTTTCTGCTAAGATCGCTTGATCAATGAGTCGACCAACCTGTTCCGGCACACTGAATTCCACACTTGGATTAAAGTCACGACCTAAAAATTTTGAAAATTGAATAATCAGTACTTATTCTAAATTTGGCTACATGATTATCAAATCACGTCTGAATGTTTCTTCCTTTCTTTTCCACATTTAGTAAAAAAAGAAAAGAAAATTTTTTGCAATGTGTACAAGACCATTATTTAGAATATAATTCTTTTTATGTCCCATATAGTACTTTTATATCGACTTTATTCTCGAGTAATAAAGAACGTAAATGCTTCAATTCCCGTGCAAATAGAATAACATTTCAAAGTATGCATATTATCCCAAAAAGTCATGCTCTAACCTTCAACTAATAAAGCAACGAATTAATTACCTGATAATTTCTGCTTGATGCGCTTTAGTGATGATTCAGCTTTTGAATCAGTCTGACCGTCCTTTTGCAACGTTTCGGGTGGCGGCCGTTTTCCACCAGCTGGAAAAAATCTGGTGAGCAGAGAGAAGTCATCTTTCGAACATTATTAAAATACAAAAATTGGTAATAATGCAGCGCGATTCCGTTAAGTAATGCATAATAAGAATATATGTAAAAAAGTGAGGAATACCTTCCATTAACCTCCAGTTGATAAGAGGATCATAAACAAATGCCTCAAGCACCGCGAGAAGACTTTCCTTATTTGAACGAAGCACTCGCAAAACACGCTCACAAGTTATTCGATAATTACCTTCAATTCCTGTGGCTTCCATAGCCTAAAAATTACCAAATCTATTCAGATTAAACGAGTTCATGCATAGGTAATAGATCTGAGAAATGAAGACTCGGTCCAGGCTAAAATCTGAAATGGCTTCTAATGGTTTGTCAAACAGAATCACTCAGTCAGAACCTTAATAGAAAATCTTACAAGAAACAATAAATTTTTCTTTTGGAAACTTGAATTTTTTAAAAATTTCTACCTGAATAAGCATTCTTGTTAGTCGGAATGGAATTTTTTCTGGAAATTTTTCTCTGGTCATTGCGACTTCAAAGCAGTCTCCGAAATCAATGTGAACAATTTTGCCGCTAACACGATCGAGCATCAGATTTGACGGATGTCTGCAATACCCATGAACCAATTTGCTTCAAATTCTCTTAACAACGACAATTTTATAAATTTACCGGTCTCCAAGTCCTAAAATGTAGCCAACCATTGACATACATGCCATTGAACGAGTGTAATTGGTACGTCGATCAAACCAAATTTCCGAACTGGAAATTAACAAAAGGTGAAGAAATATGATTTAAAAAGAGCGCATGATAAGATATTTTTTGATTTACAGTAAATCGTTCAATAAAAAAATATTTTCAAAGATAAAACGTAAAAATTTCAATGTTTGGACAAAGATGCGGTTTACCTGAAATATGGATTAAAAAGAGTGCTGCAGCAAAGAAATGGAAATGCCGATGTCCTCAACAGAAAAAAAATTACAGGTCCATTACTCTAGGCTTGTAATCATAGAGAAACTCACTTTGGAGATTTAAGCCATAAAATTTGTTGTAAATCATTTCCGCTCGTCATTTCAAGTGCGTGTTGGAATACCTACAGAAAGCTGATAGAAGAATTTTCAAAAACACTAAAAAAAATTCAAAAACATATCCACAATAAAGTTTACGGAGAACTTCGAATAGAAAATCATGCCTGAACTTTCTGCAACAATGTCATTTGATCTAAATCATGAGCGAAATTTTGCATAATTTTGTGCTCCATCGATAATAAAATTCCCTTCTTTTCTCGATAATCACGAATAAGCGAATGCAAAGTATCACAGTTTGGAACCCAGCCAATCAAACCGCTATTTTGATTCAAGGCAATAATTGAATAGCGCTAAAAAAATGACTAAATAACTCGATAAAAAAAATAAAACATGGGAAAAACGCAAACTATGCGAATGAGTAAAAATTGAGATAAGAAATTAGACTTCTAGACGATCACTTAAAAATTATTTTTCGTTCTTGGATTCTGAATAAAAATTAAATATTTAATCTTGTATTAACTGCAGTTTATAACCCGTAATTTTTTTAAAAAACAAGAAGGCAAAATAACCTGGATGGTCAGATTTCTGCGAGATGTATCACCTTGGTGCAAGAGTAGAGTATTGACCAAACCAAACAGCTGCATTACTCTTTCGTCTTGCCGAGGATCTTCATGGCCCTTCAGGAGAAATATATAATCCTTTCCATCACTTCCTGAACATTTTCAAAAGTTTATAAAATGTCACAATATGATACAAAATGTTACAATATGAATATGAAATATATAGAAAAACCGTGCTGGAACTGGGCAAGATGTCATCTTAACAAAGAACAGAGTACTGACCAAATCAAACAGAAAAGTGAAATTCTATTTGGTACCTTTCATAACTACCTTTCTCGGCCGTTGTTTTGAATTAATCACTTGCAAAGTATTGTTTATTGAGGATATAGTAACCAGAGGAGCACTTGGATCATATGTTCCAGGAACTGCTAACTCCAAATCTCTAGCTTTTACCAGCCTGGAAATAGTAATATACTAATGATGTATATAAGCGATTTTCAAACGTTACGGAAAACGAGGTTAATTCTTAATCTGAATTGCTTTACTGTTAACAATACCATTAATTCATCAATTTCACATTATTGTAGAATTCTAATAGCATCGATTGGGAATTTCTATGATCTTTATCCATCCATACTGTCTTATTCTGCTATAAACCATTTTGCCTTATTCTGCTATAAGATTTCCCCGAAAGGTCCATTCATTCTTGATATGATCTTGGAAAAATAAACACTCAATATCTGCTGCCTTTATTATCTTTTGAAGAGCCAGTCCAGTAGCTAAAGAAACTAACGTATTAATTACCCATTCAGATCAGTTCTAATCAGTTTGCAAGTGCCTATTTGGAAAAGAAGAAAAATATTGCACCTGGGCGAAACATAATTCAAATCCAGCGATGTCAATTGACGAAGTTGAGTTGAGATCTTCCTAAATACCATATAGTACAGATCCCATGCCTGATTGAGTTCTTTGGCATTCTGTGAACGTAAATAGCAACGACAAGCATTCCAAGCCTCTTTCAGTTCATTTTCATATGTCTAAAAAAATGTTCAAAATAATTGAATTCTTGACTCGTTATATTTATTTAAAATGTTGTTGAAGTTGATGCGCTATATCGAAATAATTTTAAATAGCCAAAAAATGTTTACAAAGTAGTTCTCAAAGTTGCAACAAAATAATCTCTTAAACATAGCAACAATACAACGGTATAAATAGTAGAGCAAATTGAAATCTGTGCATCTCGCACTCCTGGGTTATATCACGCATGTCTCACCATTCTAGAATTACCGCTATGGAATATCTTTTCGTCTTCTTCAGGACTTAGTCCTATAACGCTCTCTAATGCTCCATTATTTTTACTTTTTGCGAAAATTTGATTTTGTTCAGAAATAGTAATTACTTGTTTGAAAGACTGTTCCTTCAAAGTAGTCGCACCACGATCAATCATATCGTGCAATGGATCTAACAATTCGAACATTGCTTTTACATTTTTGTCCTGAAACTTAAACTCGTGCATAATCTGTAAGCTAACTGCAGATACAATGCCAAAAAAAGTTGTGGCAGGCAACTTGCAAGTGATAAAAAACAAAAGTAATGTAAAAACTATAGTCAATATAAGTCAATGCAGCATCACACTGCAAATAACAATCTTAAGCAAGACCAGCACTATGCATTATGTATTTACTAGTTCTCAACAACGCGGTGCATCAGGCAATTTTTTCAAAAAGTATTACAAAGTTGTGCATTGGGTAACAGTACATCAGTTTGTTCGTAAAAGTGAATATATTGCAAATGAGTGCACACATATATATAGTGTGTGAATAGTGCTTTTTGCAGATTTGCTAAAGTCATTCCCTAAAACTTATCTCTGGAGTAGGGTTTTTGTCTTTAACCTGAAAATAAAGCCTTGACGCATCGTCCAGTGCTTCATGCCACTGTTCATGCCAAAGTATGGCGCAACGAATCAGTTCATCACTGACAAGCTTTGCCTGCTCAACAAGTGTTGGTTGACTATCACTCATGATTGTCAATATTTCTGTTGCAACTGTTGAGCGTAGGGAGTTTGCCGATTTTGCAGCTACTGTAAGGGCATAAACCAAAGACTGAAAGAAATTTAAACAACGTAATTAAATCAAATCGCAAAGATGAAAAGAAAATTTTGTTGCCTTCTAAAAAACGTTATTCCGAAAAATTTTATTTTCTTTTTGAATGCTGTCACTTTATCTATTGACGACATCACGATTACTTAAAGATATGTTTGCAACATAAAATTATGAAACAACAGTTACTAATCAGATCTCCAGATATATAGTAAAACATGACAACCTGCGGATGAACTTTTGACAAATCGATGACAACTTGCTTGATCAACTGAGCAACATTTTGTTTCGAATCTAGACGTGCCATCAGTTGTGGGATAACCTGGAATCATATATTAGTACATAAAGGCCAACTTGTTCAGCGCATAGTTACACTTACATTTCAAACGAAATCTTTTCATTAATTCAAGGAAATTTTTTGATATGAAATTCCAGAATAATCTATTTAAAAACCTCGAGCCACATTTCAACAGGCAGCAATTTCAGTGATTCTTGGATAGTTTCGAAAACTTCCACTTGATCACCATGTTTAAACCATAATGTTAAAAATCGCAATGTATCTTCCAGTCGTGATCCTAAAAGCTGAAAATTATTATTTAGAACCATCAATCTTCTTTTCATTATTAACGAACTGCATGTGAAGTCTGTAGATAATCGAAATTATAAAAAGTTTCAAAATACTAATTACGAAATGTCTTAAATTCATGCCTTATAACTACCAACACTCACACTAAACCAGAAACTATCTTAAATTCATCAATCTGATACAGCTACCACGCGGTACCTAAAAGTGGATTCCATATACTTGATACCATAAAGCAATTTTGATTCAACTTTCGTGAAACCATGCAGCATCAAAAAACTAAAGTAATTTAAAAAAATTTATACCTTCGGCCAAAGTGATAGCTTTAATAAAACTTGAAACAGCTTGTTTTGCAAGAAAGATCATCGCCTGATTAGGTGCCGGAGAAGGTGGATTTACAATCACTGAAGAAGAAGGTGACGGCGGTGGATGCAATTCTGGCAAAAGAATATCTGATGAAGTTTCTCGATCCATAATGCTTCCGAAGGGGCCATAGCTAGGAAAACTTGGCATCGCACCGATAAAAGGCGGTGGTGGTGGTGCTGGTGAAAACTAAAAAATAAAAAAAATAATGAATGCATACTCCGGAAAAAAGTTCCCATAAAAAGGAAAACTTTTGGTGGTAAATGTATTTACTTGGGATAAAAGGATGTTTAAATGTGTAAACGTTCAAGAACGTTCAAGAAGTCTTCACAGTAATTTAGCCTTCTTCTCATAACTTCTATACATTCTATAAATTACAGAACTGTTTGGAAAAAGAAGGAATAAGTACAAGATTTTGAATAACTGAGTGAATTTGACAACAATAATAGAATTGAAATTTTTAAAACACTATTGTAAAACAGTTACATCAATAGCAAAAAAAAGAGATAAAACGAAATAATGTATATTAATATACATCACTAAATCAAATACCAATTTGGAAGACTAAATTAATTTAAGCAAAACCTAACACTTGCAACTATGATTTTTCTATTGAATACCTCGTCCATATGATGTGGAAAAATTCCCAGTACATAAGAACTTATGTCATAGAAACCAACAGCATGAGATCGAAAACCAAACAGTTCCTTCCCATATTGAGGTCAAGTTTAAACAAAAAAGAAAAATAATTTAACTTTAGTAGAGCTCACCGAATTTTGTGTCTGATACATGGCAGCGTTAAAGTAAGCAGATGCAAGTTTGTGCCATGCTTTATACCAAGTTGGATCATAAGCTGTAGCATTTTCATAGAATTTCATTGTTTGTGTTAAAGTCTGTTGTGATGGACTAGGCTGTAACGACTGCACCATGTATGAACTTGGTGAAAATACTGGTGATGGACAGATTTGGGCACGTTCATCGGTTAACAATAATGGTGGTACATTGCTCATAATGGATGAACTATCCGGTGATTGTTGAGCGATGTTAGCAAGTGATAATTGCTGTACATTGACACTCACGGCCTGCACATCTTTGGTTGATTCCGGTAGAGTATCATACCAGTCACCTAGTTTTAAACAACATTTTGCCATTAATCGACACATCTCCGAATTTTTTTTGATTTCAGTCTGAAATATCAATAGTAATGTTCAAATCATTTTCATTTGTTGTTATGCATCAGTCTTTAATAATAATTATTTCCATTTCAGAGTGTTACGTGCTGTTGAAATATCTCAAAACTTAATCCGCACAAATTCACACCGTTAATTTGTTTCTTTAATAACTTATAAAAATGTATTCAATCACTATATTCACAATATGTAGAATAAGAAGTCTAAAAATACGTCTTTTTCATATCTTTTTAATATGTCTTTTTCATATTTCCTTTCCTTTTCATACGTATTTTTTAATATACCTCTTTTTATACAGACAGATACGTCTTTTTAATTTGATTTTCACTAATCAAGAGAAAGTTAAATTTTCAAAACCTTTTTGGCTTCAAATTGACTGGTCAGTCGTTCCAATGTATTGCAAGCTAATTCAGTCAGATTTTCTGCCCAATATTGCTTACAAACCGCTAGCACCAATGAAGGTTTATCCATCGGTAAATTTTTTATTTCATGTAGTTTCTCATTTCGTTTTATTCCTAATAAATCTGCCAAAATTCGATGTGACATTGACAACTTTCCATACTGTCGGCAAAGTGATGAAAATTTGATCCATAATGGGCGCATCTCGTTCCGTGAAAGCACTAATGATCTGAAAATATATTTATTTAAAAAAACTGGTCAGCTAAAACGAAATGCAAAATTTCATAATTAGAAAATTTTTTAAAACAATCATGTTTTATTATATAACTTACTTTACTAGTAGCAGTCTCTGCCATTGTTCAATATTTGGTCGGCATCCTTGCAAACGTCGACTCCAAACAACGGCAATTCGAATCCTTCGATCAGGCCACATTTTGTATTCGATGGCTTCTTCAAGTTCGGTCAACTGTTGTACAAGAGTCATTGCACCATAAGCTCTTTCATAACTCTCTGATGCCATCGCTGTCAATTCTGTGTCACACATGTCGCGCACCTGAAGATAAAATAAGTATCAACAATCTAAAAAGTTACAGCTACTCATGCATAATCCTGATCAAATTGCCAAATTCATTTTCAGTTAAACTAAAGTACTATCAACACAGCTGATGGATATCTAATCATTAAAAGTATGGTGAAATGCAACAGAACTCAATAATCATACTATTACAGCGACGTTAGTACAATTTATAGAGTATTTATTATACTATCATAATGGAAAGGCTGCTTGCTAAAGAAGTGCTATTACAAGCAATGAATTATAATCCCTCAAAAAGTTTAGTAAAACCACTGTGAAGCAAATCAAGAAAGAATGAAAAGCATGCCATTCAGATGATTCGTCATAACAGGCAATAATTTACCGGCAGTTGAGTTATTATCAAAAATCACGACAACCTTTTCAATATAAGCCATTGCATCATGATACTGCTCATTTCGAATGGCCAGCACGGCTCGAAGGAAGGATCCATCTTGATTATTTTCATTAATCTGTTTAACGTAATAATCCATTGTTTCCCAATCTTCTAAACATTTATTAATACTTTTTCCATCATTACAGATAAGAGAAAAAGTATACAAAAACCATATTTCTCTAAGTGCAAGTTTCAGGAAATACTTACCGATTGCCCAACTACCTCGTGCTGCAGTTATTGCCATATTTTGTCTTCTGGTTGCATTTGTTGTTGCACCAACTTCAG